TTAAAAGGAGAGATTTACGTTAGTTCCTTCGATCTCCTCCATTTCCCTTTTGTAATGGAGATCCATGCTCATGCAATATATGCAGAGCCTTTAGCTTTGCTTTCTGCTTGACAAAGAAAGATGACGCCACATTCTTGCCCATAACAGGTGCACTTATGTTCTCTCGCTTTTGGTTATGAAATGACTTCAATCCGAATGCAGTCAAAGGTATCGATCCCTCAAGCTCCTGTGAAAGCATGACTTTTTTCATAAGCTTCATGCAACAAGTTTATCAAAGATGCATCCTAAGTAACCATACGAATACAGATGCTCTATGGGTCATATTAAAAGCATAGAGAATCAGGACCTGAACTAGTTGCTCACTAAGATGTATGTATATATTATACTTGATTTAAACATTACCCCATGTGTGATACCCAGTGTTGGGATGAATGCAGGAGAAGCAGGAAAAGCTGTTGCTGAAGATTTTTTATTTCTACTATCTCCATTCTCTGCAAGAATTACAGTCACAATGCAGTCTTGTCATCTAAAGCTCGAGTATAATGGTGAAAATATGAGCTACTGATGTAACAAGCATACCCTGTTAAAAGTCAGGAAAGGTGGGCAGATAAATTGTCAAAATTAACTGTAAATTCGGTGGCTTTAATTGCACCGAATTCAGTGCAAAATTCGGTGCAATAAATGGGCAGCTATTGTTGAAATGAAATAGAAATATTATAACTTTAGTCATTGTATTTTAGGGTACTAAGCTTCAACTATAATACCCTAACCCATTTAGCTTTAAAATCATCCTAAAATCTCAATCATTTTTTTCTCCCAATACTAGAGAGTTTTCTTGTGAGTAGTGAGTGCTTTGTAAACACCTGCAAATTTTCTCTCTTAGTAAAAGATCTGCAGCAGTCCGGAGACGTAGGCACAATTAGTTGAACTCCGTTTCAATTTCGGGTATTATTTTTTCTCTTTTATTTCATATTCTCACTAATCTGGTTGTAGGGAAATTATTCATACTCGTTTTATTTCCCAACATACCCTATAACTGGAAAGCGTCGAAGCACTGCCCGGGGTTCTATGTTTTTGTTGCTACACAATAATGTAAATAATTTATTGCTCTCAGCAGAACATTGAAAGAATAACAATCAAAAGAAAATACAATTATTGGGACGAACTAACCTTGCCAAAGTTTGTGAAGTCCCCTTCAAAGTAGTGTTGGTATCCAAGGCTAAGTGCCATGAAAGAGGTTTCGATGCAGGAGTATCTAGACAACATTTGATAAGTAACATGATATTCAGCTACTTGCAAGAAAGTTTATTGCAAACAAGGCAGAAAACACTAAAATCTTGAAGATTTCTTTCCTGCTTAGAAACATGATACCTGAAGGCTGAAGAAGAGATTTAGCCAGAAAATATTTCTGCCTAGGATTTGTCTGTACATGTTGAATGGAAAGTAACTTCTTGTTGACATAATCTGATTTAGAGGAATACAATGGAACATAACCAAAAAGAGGAAAAATGGAATGTGAAACATACTAAAACTTCTACCCACTAATCAACTTCCAGGAAGAAAAAACAAAGGCTTCGATCAACTAGTCATACCTGGTAAAGTGTAGTGCTTGTGATGTCTTGGGATAAATGCCAACACCTGCTGCTCCCCGAGACCTTCCTTATCCGTGTATGTTTGGCAAATAAGAAGTTGCTGATATGAACAAACTAAATAAGTTCAGATATTATTCTTGTACTAGCATATTAAACCAGATAAGTGCAAAGAGATTACATGATTTAAACAATATGCTTTTAGCTCCATGGTTGACACTTGCAACATTTGCTGCTCGAGAAGATCGGTTAACTTGTGAGCCGCAGTGACAAGATGATCGACCGTATTAACAAGAGCCTTTGCAGCATAATCTTTGAGATTGTCCAATACTCTTAACAGATGAATCACGCAAAGAACAGAGTCGCGTTATAAGAAGAGAACATGCAAGTAATTCGAACTCAATCAAATAACTAAGCATGTAAACTTGATATAAGAAACATCACAGAGACAAGCCATTAATTTGCTCACTCATAGTACTGCTTGCAGGAAAAGGCTGTCAGCTAAGCAATGAATGTACCAAGCAACAAATTCTGAAGTGTAACCTTACATGTGCTTCATTTCAGTGTGATGAAACGACTTTTCGGAGTATTTTGCAGCTGTATAAGCTGAGGCCTTAGGTTCTTGAGTTCCTTAAAAAAAAGGCACATTGATCCAATTTATCAACTAGCCTAACAATGAAATGCTGGAAAGCTTTTAAATGCAAAAGGCTAAAAATTCAAAGATGAATTATGAACTCGACAATGAGGACAATTAGCAAACCAATAGAAATCTCTAAGCTCTTATAGATGATACATTTTGAAGCAAATGTGGTCCGAAAATAAGAAATTGAAGAAACGAACCTACAATGCTTTGACAAATCTTTTACTATGCTCAATGGAAACCTCATCGAAGTTCATGGCGGGATCATCAGGCCTGGGTAATTCGACCTCAGTCAGTCAGTTGTCACCTTCTCTCAGAAGGATCAAATTCAAAATCTCAAAACTAGTGATGCTTGTAGCATTTTTTATTATCATTTTGATATAAAGAAATCCAGGAACAAACTAAGGATTCATTAGTTAGACATAGAATTTAACAGAACAGAATGCTTTTGCATGAACAGTAGACTCGAAGATTAAAAATATTTCTACTATGTCTATTTGTTCATGCTTTCCGTCAAAATCGAGACCAAAAAGTAACGCAAATTATCAAATGTCACCTACTGAATACCATTCCTCAACAAAGAAGGAAAAACAGATACAATTTAGCCAAGTTTCACAGAATAAAGTGCTCATCTAGTTTCCAAAAGATTTTTTACAATGACAGTTACACGGTCAATTAAACTCCATAAAGTTTAGCATTGCTTACACACATACACAATGTATTTAATCAACAAGAAAAAAAAAAGAACAAGAAGAGAAGAAGAATATAAACTTCTTACAGCGAAGAAGAAGAGGAAGAGAAATATATAGTTTGAATTTGGGGGGTGGACTGAGCGGGGTAGGGTACAAAAATACAAGAACAAAAAGTAATTAAGCGGCAGATGGTAAGGAATCGAAGACCTAATTTATCCGCGGCTATGCAACGGATTACATCTAAATTTTCCTTATATTAAATAAATAATTATTATTTAGAATAAACAAGTTAATGATATTTTAAATAGTCTAATTTGATTATAAAATATATATTTTCAAAATTTCTCTTAATTTATTAAGAATGTACATGGTAATGGTAGATGTGGATGTTACAAAAGAAATAATTATAATAACACACACAAATATAATATAAAAAATCAATCAATACATTAACACAAATATCATCAAAATACTTATAAAAATATATTATCAAATTAAGTTTTTAATATTATTTTTAATATACTCATTTTATAGAACAGATTTACAAGTGTCCAACGTTTTGTCTCTGCATGGAGGTCAGATTTACAAACAAACCCTTTTATCATCTCTTTCATGCCTTATCGGTTATACATACAGGAATCAGTGAGCGTGGTTGTTCTATTTCCATTCATTTTAGGTCTTTTGCTGCTTGAGCAACTCAGTTGCGTAGACTCGCTTCCTTCTTCAAGATGAGTACAATATAAAAACCATGGAGTGCGACAACTGCCTCATTGTATGTAATCTGCTTTATTTGGCTTGACTTTCTCATTTCTAATGGTTATTCTTTAACGTTATTTGCAGGCGTTTATGATCATTCTTGGACAACTTGCATGCCTTTGTCGTCTGCTAGCCTGTCTTACCGGAAATGATGAACTTCAGGAAATCGCAGAGATATTGACCTGTATTTCTGACCTCGTTTATTGCACGTAAGACATCTTGTTCCTGAGACGGTCTTCAAAAACCTCCAAGTCTCCGACTTACTTCCATCTCCTGAAACCTAGACTCCTAACCTACTACAGTGCATAAACATACTCATGACAGATCCATGTGATCTATTAGAGTAAAATCTATGGTCTAACAGGCCGATATTCCTAACCTGTTGGCATATGCCATTATAAATACCCACAATTGAAGAGGGGCCGACATTTTTAACAACCATCCTTCTCTTTCTTCTTCTTCCTTCCTCTTCCTCATGATCGTCCCTCATCAAGCCATCTTATTTCCATCAACAACGTTCAACCATACATTTTCAAAGTCACCCCTTTTTAAACTCATTGTTCTGAGTTTAATCAATAGTGTTTTGACCTGCTTTCTTTTTCAGGGTCTGCGCTTGTATGCAGACTCAGTAAAAAGGTTGAACTGGACCACAGACACCGCCTGCCAGGCAGCGGTGTGATGACAGTTCCTGCGGTGCAGGAGATGTTACTGTTTGACCAGCCGGTGCCTCCGAATGTAACACAACAACCGCAGGGACAATACCCTCCCGCACAATATCCACCTGGACAATATCCACCTCAACAAGGACAGTGGCAGCAGCCGCCGCCGCCATATGGCTATGCATATCCTCCGGGACCACCACCACCATATATGCACGGATACCACCCCAATTCAATGCCTCCTCCGGGTCCGTACGGCGGACATCCACTCCCTCCTCCAAGATACCATCCTGGAGGTCAAGGTTACTAACTTACTATCCTCCCAACGTCCCACCACAACCTCAGCAGTTCCCTTCCGGTGAACACCCCAACAATCCTCCTCCACCGCCTGCACCAAAAGATTCTGCATAGACATTCATACATGCACGTTCAAGTTCTAGTAGCCACCGCGATGGTCATAGTTTGGATCGATTCCTTTACTAAATATTTTAATGTTATGATATATACTACATATTCGTCGAAACCTTAACTGTAACTATAGCTTTTTTTCCCGGGTGATCAAATGTAATTAAATCTGTTTGATTATTGATACATTCATAAACTGCGTCTTCTGGAAATTCTATTACCATACATATATATCCGTATATTGTTACACAGTACTTAATCATCCATTACGACTCATCTCTGGAACCATGTTGTCCCTCTCATCTTCCAAAATCCCATTGCTTTGCATTCGTGATAACTGCTGAAATTTTGGGGTCGTTTCTTTCTTACCCAACAGTTTCTTGGCAAATATAGCACCCCCTGTTACTGCTCCTACTGAAAACAATGTGCCCACAATCACCAAAGTCCACTGTGAAAGAAAAATTATTAGATTAGATCTATTACCCATAGTACTAAATTATGGTTGCAAAAGTTTTTCAACGTCACTGCAACCGCATCTGCAACATTAAAACATATAATCATTTTTAGGAAATAAATCACTTCATAAAGTCCGTAATAATCTCAACTGCAATTTAATAGTATGACTATGACCTTAGAAGTTCTAAGCTTCAGTTTCCACTTGGGAAGAGATGAATCGTACTCACATTTGTGTTACTACTGTTATTGCTTCCCCAATGAGGCAGTTCAGACATACTTGAATCCCCAGACGAGTCTGCAAGAATTTGTTTTTCTTTTTCAACATGATAATCAGATCAGATCAAAAAACAAGGTAGGAAAGAGGAGAAAGTCGAACCTGTTGTGTTTGTTGTCGGAAGAGAACAGTCAACACTTCCTTTCCAGTCAGAAGGACATTCGCATGCATTGCTTTCGACCAGACATTCAGCCCCATGGAAACAAAACATTCTATCACAACGAACTCCGGGATACTGACAATGTTTTCCGGTATACCCTAGAGGACATTTGCAGGAGTAGTCCTCCCCTTGAACGATTTCTTCACAGAGCCCACCATTTTCACACCAAAACGAATTAGTCCCATCGCACATCGTCATCTCCTCATCACAGAATCTCCCCCTGTAAAACATTTTGTCACCATCGTACGTAATCCAACACTACTGTTAAGAAATAGAAGTATTACCCGAGGAAAGGACGATCACCGTCCAAGATGGTTGATGAATCCGGGATATCGCAAATGCAGTCACTGTGGCTGTTACATGACCCGGTTTTGCATTTGCTGTCGTCTTCACATGGCAGAGAATGTACGTTCAGAGATCCAAACAACAAAGAGATTGCTACCACAGATCTAAGCATTGACATCTTTAAGATTCAGAGATAGAAAGTATGCGAACTGAGAAGAAGAAGAAGAAACAGTATGCGAATTGAATTTCCTAACAGTTTTTTAGTTTTTAAGTGATGCAATGTGGAGATTCGTGAAAGTGCCTTAGGGTTTAAGCAAAGGCGCCATAATGACCTGTTAGTCGCCAGCTGAAAGTGAAGCTGAACCCGTCGAATAGGAACTGTTGGTTAACAATTTCATGCGTTTTTTTTTATATACGGAAGCTTAGCAAAGTCAAACAATGCATGTCACTGACGAGTAGTTTATTAGGGTACTGGATCCGAGAAGCATGTAAATTCAACATTTCACGTATCTCAAGGCGCAACAGTACACTCTAAATAAACCCGGTTTGCATCTTGGGCTAGGCCGTTTCTTTATTTAGCTGCCGATGTATAGGGCTAAACAATGGTTGAGACTTGAGTTTTTTCGGCCCAATAGGTCATGAGCTATAATTAATTGGCCCAACAGGCCACCACGAAATTTATTTTACAAATTACGACAAAAGCTACAGTACAAGGCAAACTTGTTTGCCGAAGTGACGAGTTTGAAAAAATATTTTTTAATGGTCCTAGGTAAATGGGCCCCATGTGAATCAATATTATAATATATTTTTATAAATTCATCATATTAAAGTGACGAGTCTGGTGAAAAGTAATTTATTTTTCATAAAAAATCAATAATTAATTTAAATATATATATAAAAAAACTAGAACTCATCACCTTGACATGACGATTGACGAGTTCCTCTGGAATTTAAAACTAGTCATTGGACAAAGGACAACATTTGAATTTTAAAAATGTAATTGTTGAAACTCATCAAGTCGACATGATGAGTTTCATCGAATTTCATTTAAAAATGATTTAATGTAAAATAATTTATTACAAAATAATAATAAAAGTTATTACAAGCTAATACAATCCATAAAAAATTACTTATATTTTCGTAATTCTTGACAATGTCGAGGAGCGTTCGAATGATAATGGCGTGGGGCTCATCAATTTCGTCTTGGTCGTCCCCTTGAACGTTTTCATCTTCATTTGCTTCTTCAACAAAAGGTGTATTGAACATCACTCCATTTTGAGATCCACCTTTGAAATACGGTAATTGAGTACTTAAGGTATTTCATGCCATCATTGTCGTCATTGACTCGAATTGACCACCAAAATCAATACCTTGCTGACCATATATAATATGATCTTTTTCACCATTATGTTATGTCGAAAATACTTGAGCACTTTGTATTGCATCCCATGAACCTCCAACCCAATTTGGCTGACTCTCCATTAAAGCATGATATGGAGGATAAAAACCATAATTGGTTTGAGATGCAAAATATTTGGCAGAAGCAGAAGATGTCGATGATGATGATTTCTTACCCTTTACGAATTTGGCCTTCTTTTTTTTCCCATTGTTCCCTCTTTTTCGATGTTGTTAAATATGGTTTTCCAATTGCTTCATAATTTTGGAAATAGGGAGAAATGTCGAAATTAAGGTCAGCAACTGTAATTTCGAAGCACATAGGGACAAATAAATGACGCTCATTCCATTGTTGAATGTAAACAACGTTAAAGATACCAGGGCCAAGATTGTAGCAAGACTAGACAACCCGCTTTATCAGTTTTCCCCCCTTTCAACTATTATAACCTTGCAAAGTTCCCAACATAAAAATACCAAAATAGTCGAGCCCCAACAAGTGTTACGACACTCAGTAAAAATTTTCAACATCAAAAGATGTTGAGTGTGCACCAAATTTTTGAATTTATCAGGTAACAATATCCCTCTAATCAATTGGAGAAGATGCCCTTAGGTTGCAAATTTGACCTCATCCTCGATAGAGTAGTCAATTACATGAAATTCATACTCCAACCAAGTTATATGTATCTGATACCTCTCTTAGACCTCTAGTGGTGACATATTTCCTAAAACTTCCTCAACGATTTGGAATCGATTGTAATCATTGTGCCTCACTAGTGTCGAACCATTAATCAAAACACTGAGTTGGTAAGTGACATCTTCCAACATAATCGTCACTTCACCACTCGAAAAATGGAAAGTATGTGTTTCGGACCTCCAACGTTTAATCATCGCCGAAATCAGTGTTAGGTTCACCCTAAAACCATGAAGAAATATGGTTGGAAACAACCCGGATTGTTGTATATATAATAATTCATTGATGCATATTTCTAAGTGTCATTCCTCGTTGACGAATGCTCCATTCTTCTTTCAGAGTGAGTTCGAGCGAAGAAATATGGACAACATCACGACGTAACATTTTATCTAGTAGACATTTTCACGAATTATTAGAAAAAATCTCATTTTTTCTTAACAATTCACAATAAAAATCATAAACCCCAAATCTACCAGCTATAAACAACTATATTTTACAAAGATCCTATAGAACTTATCACGTTGAGGTGACGAGTTCTAATATGCCCGTTGAAATCTTATCGTTGCTGTTGCTTATTGGCTAATGGCTATAAACAATTAGTTTATTTTAAATTCCAAATGAACTCGTCATTTCGGTGTGACGAGTTTTAATTTTTTTTATTTATAATTTTTAATCAATTAATGAATTAAAAAAACAAATTAGTATTAACTCACATGAGACCCACTTAATTGAGACCATTAAAAAATATTTTTTGGGCAAACTAATCACATACAATAAATTTTTTGAGAGTTTAGTTGATGAAGAAGAAGAATGAGCTTGTCTTTAACAATTGTTTCGCATGGAAAATTAACACATTACAATAGTACATACAGAAGTAGCATATGTTTGGATAAACAGTAAAATAATAATAACTATATATTGTGATCTTAAGTCTCAAAACTTGACTACTCGTCCATTTTCATTTCTTTGAATTTGATGAAATTAGTAATGTTTTCCATCATATTTAATGTTTAATTTTATACAAATAATTTCAATTTATTTTTTACAAGCTAATATATGGTCAAATATTTTGTTAATATAGAGTAATTATAAAATACTGTACGGTCAAATATGTTGTTAATCTATTGAGAACGCGCACACATATGATTCAGAAGTAACTGCTCTAATCGAAAGTTATTGAGAGAACAACACTCCCTTCTACCACTGAGACCACATTAAACCATAATTAAAGTTTTTATGCGTACAATTACATAATATATTAAAATTCACCTTAATACTTACCTCAACGTGATAATATAAATTATTTAATTTTTGAAATATATTAAATTTATCAAAATAAACATATATACATTCACAATAAAATTCATTTTATTAATTTTAATTAATCTACTATTTGATTAGCTCATGATATCAATTAAATTATACACTTAAATATATTATAGATGGTGACGACAATGATAACAATAGTAGACTTAATGCATATAACAAGCCATATTAGTAGTTAAAGGGATGATTGTTGTCTTTAGAAGTTCCGAGTCCAAGCACCAACGATTACAATATATTTGAGCGTTTATTGTCAAATAATTGAGAGTATTTAGAACATATATTACTACTTGTAATCATCATAAATTATTAAAATAAATGATAATAGACTTAATATTGATGCATTAACAACGTATAATTTTATGTATAATCGGTGAATAAACAATTATAGTTATTATAAAATTTTGAAAATAAATTTACTTTTAATGATATATCATTATGATAATATATGAAATTATATACTATGGATGCATCGATGGAGTGTGTCGAGTACCACAAGTTGAGCTATGGGGTAGTGGCATAAGCAAGTTTTGCATGAATGCTATGACTCATTGGTGGTCAGCATGTTCAACGGCGGCAGGATTCACTTATCAAACCACCAAGGAATGCCCATTTTAGTGTATGGGGCGATATGCTAGGCATCATCACTTATAATAGTCAATGTGTTGATCTCTCTGCCCGTAGTTTAGGGTTCAGCCCCCCCCTCTATTTAAATGGAAAAAAAAGAGGAAAAGGAGGGACCCAAGGAGAGGGGACAGGTCATTTCTTTTAATTTATAAAAAATAAAAATCCATTTCAGTATTTCTTGTTGTTGAAACAGAAAGAAATTAATCGATTTAAGAGAAAAAGAAAATGCCACTCCTCTCCTGGATCTATGAGATCTAATGTGTTTCATTTTTTCTCAAAAAGGAGGAATGCTCTGCTCCCTCAGATCTATTTCTTGAAATTAGATCCTTAGATGAGGAAAAGGAAAAATCAAGTGTAATTGAAGAAGAAAAGGAAGATGTATATGGCATATGGATATCCGCAGGTGATTCCATTAGAGCAAGGGCAGTATCCCACGTCGCAAAAGATCATTTACCTAAAACTCATTAACCGACTCTTGCTCGTCGTTTCGCCTTTGCATCTCGAGCTATGGAGTTCCTCCCAGGTATTTCCTACACAAATGCATGCTTTTGTTTCATGATTAGGTTTTTTGTTTTCCTCATTTATAAAGCCTTTTCATTGATTTGTGTGTCGGTGATTGCAGCATAGAGTGAGGTTAGGGAGCTATAAGAGAGATGCGGATTCGCTGCAAAGAGAAGGCGAGAATTTGCAGGCCGTTTGGAGCCCTGACACCAAACTGATTGCTGTTCTTGTGAGTTTTTTATTTTTTTTTTCTCTCAGAGAATTGATTTAGCTTACCATGGTGCAAGTTTAATTTTCTTTTATTTGAAGTTGTTTCTGTCACTGTTTTGATTAAATGTTCGTTTAGTATTAGGGTGCTGGAATTTCGGTGTTGATGGAGTAAAATTAAAATGAAGCAGAAAAACAGTTTATGCATATTACTCTTGATAATTGCATTTAGCTTGATTTGTTTTATTTTCACGCTTAAGGATGATGGATAAGAGTTCCCTTTTGCCCGGATTGCTCAATGATAAAAGGATGATGTTTGATATATCCCATTTATTGTTTTCTTTGTTTCGGTGTACTGCTTCTGAAGATATTTAAGCACGTAACTTTATTTGTTATGAACTTAAATCTTACTCGTTTTTATTTTTGCAGACTTC